TTCTCTACCATGAACTATACCCCGGCACCTATTTTTAAAAGGCAGAAGGCTTTTTTGGGAGATTTGGAGACCACACCAGGCAGTCCCTTTGCAGTTGCTCATAGAGGTGTTCTGGGGACCACATATGTGGTGCTGTGGATCGACTTCAGCTGCCTTCTGCTCAAGCAGAAACTTTTGACACAGAACTGTAGCAATTAAGTGAGAAAAAGAAATTATTTCATTTCAGGGCACTACAGTCATAAATTTGTCTTCAAAGAGAATTCCAAGAATTCCAGGAGATGGCTTCAGCGAAAGTGCTGGCTTACATGAATGAGAACAAGAGTCTGATGCCCAGTGCACTGTTTGAGGCTCAGATCCCACACGCTTAGTTGCCACCTGCAGAGTATAGGGTCTCTGACACACCCAGTCAGAAGTGGAACCCTGAGTGAAGAGCCAGGAGTAACCCCTGCTGTGCATCTCCAGGCGTGACCCCCCCCCAAAAAAAAGACCAAACCGTCCTGGGGAGGGGGGAGGAATCCTGGCAGCCAGAGATATATCTAATATAGTGGGCAAGGCACTTCCTTGCATGTGACCAATCTGGGTTCAATCCCTAACATCCCATATGTTCTTCCAGTTCTACCAGGAGTAATCTTTGAGTGTTGGGCCAGCAGTAATCCATGGAAAGCATGTGTGCACGACCCACAGCAACCCTAGTACACATAACTAACACACATCCCCTTTCACAACCCCCACCCCCACCCCAGATGAGCTCATGTGCAAGAACCTACCTAAAGTGCTGGGCCCTGGGCTGGAAATATCAAGACAGGATTTGCATGCAGAAGTCCCGGGTCCAGTGCCATCCCCTCAGGGTCTCCTAAGTATTCCTGGGGCAACCCTGAGGACTGAGCTGGATTAGGTCCTGAGCACTGCCAGGTGTGGCCCAAAGAGTTCAAGTCTAAGCATCACAAAACAAAGAAGCAAGTGGGGGAGAGGAGAGGACTAGTCAAAAGAGATTGAGTTTCTTTGGCAGAGATGAAATGTTCGATGTTCCAATATCATGATGATGGCAGTACAACTAAAAAGTCTAAAACCCACTGGATCACACACTTGATCTTGGTAAATCTTATATGAATTAGACCCAAATCCTCTGTCACTCAAGTGTTTCAGGGCCCAGAGAAGCAGTCCAGTGGGTAAGGTGCTTGCCTTGCACACAGCCAACCTGAGCTCAATCCCTCCCACTACAATCAGTCAGCCCTGTCCTCAAAAGTGATCCTGGAGCAGAGGCAGGAGTAAGCTCTAAGCATTGCTGGAGACCCAACGCTCTCTAAACACAGACCCTCCAACTCAAAAACAGTGTTTCAACTGATAAGCCTTTTTCCCCCAAAATGTTATATAGAAGAGGTTCCCAAACTTATCTGACTTTCTGTCCCATTTAAAAAAAAATCAGGATCAGGAGTTAAGTATATATACACTATATCATATAGCACTGTCCTCCCGTTATTCATCAATTTGCTTGAGTGGGCACCAGTAACGTCTCACAACAAATTGTGAGACTTGTTTCTGGCATATCAAATACATCACAGGTAGCTTACCAGGCTTTGCCATGCAGGTGAGATACTCTCGGTAGCTTGCCGGGCTCTCTGAGAGGGGCGAAGATATCAAACCCGGGTCGGCCACATGCAAGGCAAATGCCCTACCGGCTGTGCTATCACTCCAGCCCAATATATTTATATATAAATAGATAGATATATAAATCTATCTATATATATATGCCCCCCACCCCCAAAAAATAAAAACCCAAAAAGAAAAAACTCTACTCAGCACCCCCTTGACCCTTGCAACCTCTTGGGAATAAAACTAAAGCTTTCCTTAGGGGCTGGAGATACAGTACAGCATGGTAGGGCACTTGCCTTGCATTCTGCCAACCCAGGTTCCATATCCAGCCCCAGCATTCCATATGGCCCCCAAACTGCCAGGTATAATTTCTGAGCACAGAGCTAGGAGTACCCCCTGAATATTGCTGGTGTGACTCAAAAACCAAAAAGATAAAGAATAAAGTGCTCCCCCATCTGTCCACTGCCCCCAGCAATCAGTATCATCACTCAATCTGGGAAATATTGCTAAAGATTTTAAATGGTCTAAGAATCACAAGTAGTGAAAGCGTTCACAAAACCACAGAAGTTGGAAAAACAAGGTTAAGACCAAAGTCAAACTCAAAATGAGAGAGTTCGAGATGATGGAAGAGTAGATGAAAATGTCAGATTATAAAAGTGTGCATTCCAAGTTCCTCCCTTCAGGGAGGACCCACTGTGCTCATCAAGGCGGTTGAGAGTTCTAAAACTTAAAGGTTTTATACTCTGACTCTAAAGATGAAGTGATCAAACCAGTGATCTCAGGAGTTAAAGTTGGGGGGAGAGGGAGGGGGAACATGTCACCAGGCTTTGATTTAAATCCTTAACTTTCCAGTCTGGTAAAGTTTGGACTCTGCTCTATGTGGTCAAATGTTCAAGGTCTGATGGAAACAAAGTTATTAAAGTCATCAAATATATCACAATGAAAAAAAGTGCGGTAAATCTAAATACTAAGTAGCCCATCTATTTTCTACTTAGTCTACTAAAATTTATCATCTCCAAACAACAAAGTGACATAAAAATAGTATTTTGAACATTCTAAATATTGAGGTTTAAAATGTGTAACAAAATAAAAAGCCTTCTAATTTTGCCTACTGCTACAAAATGTAACTTGAACAAACGTCAAGATTTGACTACACTCCCCTAGAATTGTCACATTGTTTTCATGCTTGTCATATGGCATTTTCACATTTTTCTGTGAACCCCCATTTTCAGCCACCCAACAGGTTTTCAGGACCCTCACTGAGAAAGCAGTTCTAAAATGAAGCCATGTAAGTACCATTACTTAAAGAAACAAAGGTGAAGAACAAAAGAGGAAGGAGGCTTTATAATTCTCTTCACCTTTTTCCCCAAACAAGTGAAATGTTAAGAACCCAACCCCCACTTTTATAGTTACTGGTACTCCAAAATTCAATAGTGAGCAAAAAAAAAAAAATCTAGAAACACCTAGTATATAAAGCTCTGCCAAAGAAAATATTTCACACACCTTCCCTGGAGCTTGCTGTTGATTTCAACTCTATGAAACCTCTTGCTCCGAGTTAGCCTCCTAAACAAAAGTGTTCCTAAAACAAAGACTGTCTGCACTAGCCTTTGTTCTAACAAGGTCTTTCGAGAGCTCCAACTTCTGTGAAGATTCCCCTCTATGCAGCAATATCAACAACCAAGTATTTCTAAACTCTTCCATCTGGCACAGGAAAGAAAAGGAGAGAAAGAAAGGAGAGGGCGAGGCGCGCCCCCCCCCCCCCCCCTTCCATGAAGGAAGGCTCCAGAACAGGGCCAGGCTCTGCCTCGCCCTGTCCTCGGGTCCAGGATGGGCTCCACTCACTGCGAAATGGTGGCCGTCACCTCTGTGGCAATAGAGAGCAAGGGGAGGCAATGAGATCACCCATTCTACCAAGTTCACCATTAATATCTTCCGCAAGAGTAAGGAACAGGCCGCAAAACCTAACCAGAACACTATCCTTCCTGGGGAAAAGAACCCTCCGAAAGGTACAGAAGAAATGAGATGAGAAAGGCCTGGGGCCACCCCAGGTTCACAATACCAACATGGAGGGCACCTCCCAGCACCCCACTCCGCTCTGGCTCCCAGGAGGAGCTCCTGGGCCCAGGGCCGCCCGTTTGAGGCTCACAAATGATACCCCCTCTTCACCTTCGCGGCCTATGACGTAAGAACGTCCACTGCCAAGCGTCTGAAATATTGGTCAACTTCAGAACAGAAATCCTGGATTCCCAGGCCAGGGTTCTAACTTCTGCTCTGCGATGCCTCTCAAGAGAGACTGACTTCCCTTATTAAAGGCCGAGAACGGGCCTGGGCCTGCGCCCGTCCCGCAGATGAATCGGCTCCTTAGGGACACCTCGCGCCCTTGCCCGGAAAATAAGACCCCCATCCCTTTCCAAGTTGCGCACTTTCAACTCCATTTCCAAGTACACCCGGCGGCCCACCCACCCAAACAGTCAAGTGTGGGGGGTCCCGTGGTCGTGGTTTCATCTGGGGGGGAGGGGAGAGCCCTGGGAACTGCAAATTCGCCCGGGTCCCCGCAGCTCCCACGTCACTACAAAGAGCCGAGACAGGGGCCCGGCTCGGCCCCCGCAGGCCGGGGCGGTGTGGGGGGGGGGGGAGGGGGGGCGGCGGTTAAACCTTCCCAACGGTCGCAGCGGCCAGGCCAACCGTCTCCGGCCCCACTCGCTCAGCCCCGACCGGCCCGGGGTGGCCTGGGAAGGGGGTCCGTCGGGGGTCGGGGTGGGGGGTGGACACAGGGGGCGCCTCCGCGGGACGGGGGCGGGGGCGCCGGGGTCTTCCCCCCACACGCACACACACCCCGATCCCGGCGGACGTTGCAGCCGTTACCGAGGCTCCGTGACACCCGCCGCGCTGCCCACCCGGCGCTGGGGAGTCGCGGGGGCGCAGGGGGCGGCGGAAACGCGCTTTCCCGTCTCCCCGGGCGCCCCTGACGCCTCCCCCGACCGCGCCGCCCCGGCCCGCGGCCCCACCCGCACGGCCCGGCGCTCGCCGCCGCCGGGGGACCCCCGGCCCGGGTGGCGGGCCCCCGCGTTCCGGGCGCGCCGCGGCCCGCGCCCCCCAAGCCAGCGCCCCCCCAGACGCCGGACGCCCCTCCCCGGGCACGGCGGGGCTCGCGCGCCGAGCGGCGGCTCCTCCCGCGGGCCCCCGCGCCCCGCGGCCCCGGCCGGCCGGCCCCGGGGCGCGCGGGGGGCGCGCAGGTGAGGCGCCCCGGCGCCGCCGCCGCCGCCACACAAAGGAGCGGGGCGCCCGCCGCCATATTGCGCCCGGCCCGGCGCTCGGCGAGCCCGGCCCCCGCCCCCGCCGCACACGCCCCCGCGCCGCGCCCGCGCCCGCCGCCCCCGGGACCCCGCGCCGCGCGCCACACTCACCGGCGGCGGCCGCACCTTGCAGATCCCCGTCTGCTCGGCGATGGGGCGGATCTTGTGGATGAAGGCGAAGGGGTCGGCGAACTCCTCCCAGCTGGGCTCGAAGACCGGGCACTCGGGCGGCGGCAGGAACTCGCCCAGCGGGCCCGGGCCCCCCAGGGGCAGCGCGGCGGCCGGCTCCATCCCCGCGGGGCGGCGGGGGGCTGCGCTCGGCCCCGGGCCTGGTGCGGGACGCGGCGCGGGCGACGGCGAGTGCCACCGGGGCCGGCAACGGCAGCACCTCGGGCTCTCCGGGCTCCCGGCGCCGACGTCTGGTCGCGGGCCCGCGCCGTGCGCCTCCGCCGCCACGGCGAGGAAAAAGAGTCCCGCCCCGCCCCCACTGCCTCCCCCCTCCACCCCACCCCCGGCGCCCGGCCCGGCTCCGCCCCCGAGCCGGGCGGGGCCCGGCCTGGGGCCTGGGAACCCCGGGGGGGCGGGGGGGGTGCTTGGGTATACCGAGCCCACCTTTACTGACCCCTTTCTTACTACGGGCCCGCCCCTGCCCACGGAAGTTAAAGGCCTGGTGGCGCGGATTAGGCACGCGGCCCACCCTCGTGCAGCGCTGCTAGGCTGCAAGTCTACACCCGAGTAAGCCCCTGGGCAGAGCACGCAGCCCCGCGACGGAGGCGGATTGTCCTGGTACAGGGCGGCGCGAGGCCTGTCCCGAAAACAGAGTTGGTCAGGGGCTGGAGTGATAGCACAGCGGGTAGGGTAGCGATAGCACACCGCTGGGGGTGATTTCTGAGTGCAGAACCAGGAGTAAGCCCTGTGCATCGCTGGGTGTGACCCAAAAAGCAAAAATAAAAAAAGAGTTGGTCATCCCCCCTCCCCGCCCCCGAGCGCGCCCCGGCAGGACTCAGCCAGAGAACTCCACGACCACCCTACCGCGCGGCTACTTTTAGTTCTCGTTTCGCCCGAGTCACACAGCTCTTGGGAGACTTTATGGGAAAGGGGTGCTACAGGGAAGCGAGGGTCCACTAGCAAGATGGCTGCCCGATGGGCAGGGAGAGAGCCTGGACAGAAGGACGGACGCAGTGACACCCGCCCCCCCCCAGAGCAGCGGGTGGCCGCCCTAAACGAAGGCGGGGTGCTAGTGATTAGGTGCAAATGGCACATACAGTTAGCACCTACGGATGAATTGCTCCCTAGGGGGGTAGGCAGGTAGCCTGCGAGGCTCGGGAGACCGGGGCACCTGCTGAGGGCATTGTCAGCCTTTCCGGGCTCTGGAGCAGGGTTTTATAAAGGGGAGGAACGTCTGGGGCGGGCGGTGCTGCCTTCCCAGCGGCGCCAAGTGGGTCTGAGAGGTCTGGGCAGAAATCCTGAAACCATGGATCCCAAGGAGAGATTAGAACAGGGCCTGGAAACCTGAGCCTCTGCTCCCGGGCGAGGCTAGTAGTGATCTAATGTGTGGTGAGCGAGCTTTTTTCTGCAGGTCGAGGGCGCGTGGAATCCTCAGCCCACCTCCCGCAGCGCGAGCACGCCTGCCCGCATTGCATGGAGCAGCGGAGAGGGTGTCTGGGGCCAAGGTGTGCCAAGATCCCCACAGCAGCAAAGCATGCAAGAGCTGTTTGGGCTCTAGTCCTGCTTTATGGCTCTTCCTAGGGCAAGAACCTCTTATTCCTAGAGTTCTTCAACTTGTAAGAGGGAAATGTGTCTGCTGGGGCAGGGGGTGGGGGGCTCCTCTCCCGTAAGTGACAAAGACGCATGGCTCCCACTAGAGATCAGAAGGGTTTCTGGGGTGTCCTCGCCTCTTGGGCTTTGTGGACCTCTGCGCGCGAGGCCTTGCCGAGTGACGCACCCTGGATGGGAAAATGGCCCACGGGTGGGATGTCGGTGCTGGGGGGTGTGGACGGATTGGCTGGGGAAGGGGAAAAGCTCTCCCTATCAACAGTGGGAGGAAAATCTCTTTGGGCTTTGGGCTGTCTGTGCCGTTGAGGAGTGCATTTCTTGACGGGTGTCATTTCCCGGGAGAGCCCCCGGGACACTCTACCCCGGGACACACACCCATGTTCTTCAGCCACAGGCGGGGAACTTGGAGACGGATTCCAGCCACCACGAGAATTCCGACTGTGACCCAACCGGGGTGCGCAGGAAGCGGCCGCCGAGGGAGAAACCCTTCCCATTCCAACGGCGCCCTCGGTCTCCCTTCCAGCCCTCCCAGCCCGCGGCCTCCATTTCCGGTGTGGCAGGGAGCGAGGCGATGCTGCTGCTGCTGCTCCCAGCCCTGGCAGCAGCTGTTGGGCTCCCCGCGGCCCCGCGGTGACGTCGCGGGCGGGGCGGTTGCCGGGGCCGTGGGGGGCCCCGGGGCCCGGGAGGCGCTCGGGCAGGACAGCTCCCCGCCCCCCGGAGACGCTGCCTTGCCCTTTATGATGTGTGTTTACATGGGCGGAGGGATCCCTCGCCAGCTGACAGCCACACCGCGGCCGGCACTTCTTTTTTTAAAGAGCCTGGCCACGGGCGGTGATTGGCTGCGTCGGCCTCCGGGGGCGGGGCCGGGGCCGCATTGTCTCGCTTGGGGCCGGCCGGGCACCCTAGGGGCCGACCTGGGCCACCTGGGCCCGCAGGTTTCGCACCGGCGGCTCCCGGACGGCTGGAGCGAGGCGTGGGCGGGGTCGGAGTCGGGTTCCTGGAGGAAAGCCGGGCCGGAGCCCCGGCGCCGAGCGGAACCCAGCCCAGCTCCCAGTGCCACGTCTCCAGGAACCCCCCTCCTTATTCTTGGACAACACTCCGCCCCGCCCGGGACTCGGTCCTCCGAACCGCCCCCGTCTGTGCGGCCCAGACGCGCTGCCAGGGGTCTTCATCCATATCCGGCGCTCAGTTCCGGCACAAACAGCCTACCCCACCCCCTCCCCCACCCCGCCGCCCGATCCCATCCCCCCTGCACCCCGACGTCTGCAGGCTTTGCCTCTAGATCCACCAGCCTGGACGTGCTCCCCCCTCCCCCGCGTTCCTTCCGGTCGCCAGGATAAGAAGACCACGCTCGCTCCGTGGAACCGCGCTGGGGAGTCTCTGCAGCCCACATGTGCCCCCCCCCCCAATCCTGCCCGCGGGGCACTGGTGCAGGCTCCGAATGAGCTGAGACCCGCGGCCAGACAGCCGCCAGCGCCGTGCCTCAAGCCCTATAGGCAGGTGAAGGCGCTGCTCAGCCCGCGCTCAGGGTGCAGCCCGAGCCTGGCCAAGAGGCCTGTGCCCCCACCCTGCCGTCCCATTGCCCTGTGGATCCCTCTGCTTTCCCGCAGGATCTCCCAGCACCGGCCCTTCCGGGCCTCCCTCTTCTCCGTGCCAGCGTCTCCCCATCTCTTGGCACCCTGCGATATTGGTGTCAGATGTCCCCCGTGGAAATCCAGAGATCTCCAGATAAACTGCAGCCCTCTTACCCTCCCCCTTATTAACATCCTCCCACAATGTCCTCAGGTTAACTGGGCCCATCGCTGCTCTCAGGACTTCTCTGGGCCCCTGCCGGCTCTGCCCGCAGTGGTGTCTCCTCCAGAGCACAAGATAAAGTAAAAAAGGCCCTTCCATTGATCATCGATTTGCTCGAGCGGGACCAGTAACGTCTCCATTTTTGAGACTTGTTACTGTGTTTGGCACATCAAATACGTCTCGGGGAGCTTGCCAGGCTCTGCTGTGGGGGCAAGATACTCTCGGTAGTCCCAGAGGGGCGGAGGAATGGAACTTGGGTTGGCCATGTTGGCTGCGTGCAAGGCAAAGGCCCTACCCGCTGTGCTATCGCTCCAGCCCTGGAGCGCACAAGGGCTGGAGAGCACAAGATAGCAAGAAATGAGCTCAGCAAGGAGGGCCGCAAGGATCAGTGCCAGGAGGGGGAGATGGCCTCAGTGTCTGGACTCCAGTGCTTGAGGATGGGGCTTTGAGGAGGACACAAAGGAGAATCTGAGTGCCGCAGCAGAGCAGGGAGACTCTCAGCAGATGAGTGCTGAGCTGAAGCCATGGCGACGGGCAGTTGTCTTATGCAGCCAACCCGGACTGAGTTCTCAACACCACATACATTTCCCCATGCCCAGTCAGGAGAGACGCCTGAGCACAACGGCAGGAGTAAGCCCTAAAGACCCTGGGGTATGGGCCCAAAACACAAAAAGAAAAACAAGGATGAGCGCATGTTCTGAGGCCCACACAAGCCCCCAGTCCTCTGCGGGCTCATTGGCAGGAAATCAGCCCCTTTCTCCTCCTCTGAGTTCTGTGTAGGATTTCCCAGTGCTCTGTTTGGCCTGTCCCCTTAGAGGGGACCTGTCCTGGAGATCATCCCTGGGCTGTGTCTGGTCCTGGTAACTGGCCACTAATAATAAAACACTTGGGGACTAGAGCGATAGCACAGTGGGTAGGGCGTTTGCCTTGCTCGAGGCCGACCCGGTTTCAATTCCCAGCATCCCACATGGTCCCCTGAGCACTGCCAGGAGTAATTCCTGAGTGCAGAGCCAGGATTAACCCCTGTGCATCGCTGGGTGTGACCCAAAAAGAAAAAACAACAAATAAACAAAAAAAACATGCCCCCTCTTTTAGGTGTCAGCCACAGAGGATCCAGGGTGAAGCCCAAAACTTTGTCCTATATCTTGACCCTCTCTCCACAGAGTCTCCAAAAGACACCGACAAATGATACTTTCCCACAGTTGCTAGCCCTGCCCATGGGGTGGAGGAGGCAGAGTCACCACCTCCGTGGAAGAGTTTGCTTCAGGGTGTGCTTCCTCCCTTTCCGGTTGGGCCACTTTAGAGGCCCAGACTCCCAAGAAGCAACCTTGTGGCCCTGAGCAAATCTGAGAGACCGGGAGGGGTACTTGCGTTTTCTTTCCCAGGACCCATCCTCACTCAGATCTGCACTAGGTGCCCCTTGCAGCTGTCCAAAGGCCCTAAATGCTGGCAATGTTTTTGTTGGGGGAAAGGAGGAATCAGTTGGGCACACCTGGAGGTGCTCAGGGGTCACTCCTGGCTCTGCTCTTAGGAATTATACCTGGTGGGTCTTGGGAGACCATATGGGATGTCGGGGTCGGCCATGTGCAAAGCAAACTTCCTATCTGCTGTACTAACACACCAGTCCTAGTCCTGGCAATGTTTTGAGATTCAGATTCACTGTTTCTGGCACAAAAATCTCCTGGAGGAAGGAACCAGCCTTGGCCGATTATGTCAGGGCTCAGAGAGCATATTTGAATCCCACATGCTGGTGTGCACTGCAGAGTGCAAGGCCGTGGTGGCCAGTGTGCGTCCTTGCTCTGACACAGGAAGTGCTTCCTGGGAGTTCCATCTCCTCTGCCCTGGCAAGGGTGGAGTGATGC